GATATTAGATTACCTACTTGCTTCTTATGTCCATTTGATTGGAAAATCTTTCCCTAACCCTTTACTCTGAAATAATGTCTTTCTTTGAAGTTGAGGTGTCTTTTTGAATGCAGCAGAAGGATGGATTGTGTTTTTCTATCCATTCAGTTAGCTTGTATCTTTTTTATAGGTGAATTAAGACCATTGATATTAAGAGATATTAATTACTGGTGATGGTTAGTACCTGTTAATTTTGGCTTTAATGTTGATGGTGCTATCGTGTGTGTGTTTTCCTTCTTTGAGTAGTACTGGTGTGAAATTATCTATTTCCTGTGTAGCTAGTTTCCTTGGAGTGGAAACGAGCTTTCCTTCTAGTGCTTTTGGTAGGGCTAGATTTGAGAATAGGTATTGTTTAAATTTGATTTTGTCATGGAATATCTTGCTTTCTCTATCCAAGGTAGTTGAAAGCTTTGCAGGGTATCCCAGTCTTTATTGGCATCTGTGGTCTCTTACTGTCTGCAGAATGTCCTCCTGGACCTTTTGACTTTCAGGGTTTCCATTGAGAAGTCCAGTGTAATTTTGAATGGTCTACTTTACATGTTACTAGATTTTTTTCTCTTTATAGCTTTAATGTTTTTTCTTTACTCTGTATGCTTAATGTCTTGATTATTATGTAGCAAGGGAATGTTGTTTGTCCAGTCTATTTGGTAATCTTTAATCGTCTTTGTTTTTAACAGGCATTGTCCTTCTTTAGGTTGGGAAAGTTATTGTCTATGATTTTGTTGAATATGTTTCCTGTGCCTTTGATCTGTAGTTCTCTTCTTTTTTCTCTATTATTCTTAGGTTTGCTCTTTTCATGGTATCCCAGATTGCCTGGATATTTTGTGTCAAAGATTTATTTATTTAACAATTTCTTTGAGTGCTGAATTTATTTTCTATATTATGTTTTCCACACCTGAGTTTCTCTTTTCCATCACTTGCATTGTGTTGTTTGTGCTTGCATCTGTAGGTCCTAAATGCTTACCCAGATTTTCCATAAGAATTCCTTACATTTGCCTTTCTTTCAGTTTTCATGATTTGAACTGTTTTATTCACCTGTTTGATTATTTTTCTTGGCTTTCTTTGCTATCTTTAAGGGATTTCTTCCTTTTTTGTTTATCTTTTTCTCTACTTCTATAAGGACAATTTTCAGTTCCTCTTTAAGGGCATCTATCATCTCCTTAAAGTTATTTTTAAGGTTGTTTTCTTCTGATTCATCTGCATTATGATGTTTCAGGTCTTGCTGATTTAGAATCACTAGTTTCTGGAGGGGTCATATTGCTTTTTATGTTGCTGAATGTGCTCTTACACTTTTGTCTGCTCACCTCTAACTCCAGTTTCTTTAAAGACTTTACCCATTTTTTAGAGCATTACTTTTTTATGACTCTCTATACTTTTTTTCTTTTCCCTTCCAAGTCTATGTACATTCATTCAACACTATGACCCATTTATGGGTTCTTTTTTAACTGGAGTTTTCTTTATTGCATATCTGTAATTATTTTTTGACCAGGAGCACTTTCCTGCTTCTACTGCATGTACTGGCTTTGTGGGAGCCTAGTCTGTTTGGATGCTCACCTTCCTAGACCTGGATGAAGGGGGGAAGGACCTCCCCTCCCACAGGACAGAGAACTGTGCCTTCTCTTTGGACTGGAGGGAAATGGGAGTAGTGGAGGAGGTGGAAATTTTTTTTTTAAATTTATAAACAGATTGGCCCATTAGCTCAGGCTTCTTGTTAACTCTTATAACTTATAATAACCCATTGTTATTATCTATGTTAGCCATATGCTCAGTACCTTTTTCAGCAAGGCAGGTCACATCCTGCTTCTTCAGTGATCTGGGTAGGAACCTGGGAAGAATGGGCTTCCTTTTTCTCAGCATTTTCCTTTTCTGATTGCACAGCCTCTACATCCTGTCTGGTTGACCCGCCTATACTTCCTGCCTGGCCAATCAGCGTTTATTTAAAATATGATTGACAGAATACAGACAATTCTCCTGCACCACTTCCCCCCTTTATTTTATTTATTTGTTTATAAAAATCTCCACTTCCTCCCCTCCTCCCAATACCCTTCCACTCGCCCCATTCCCTCTCCCCCTCCCTTTCCAGTCCTAAGAGCAGTCAGGATTTCCTGCCCTGTGGGAATTCCAAGTTCCTCCTAAGAGACCCTCACCCCTTATTTTTAAAGGGACAAGAATTTCCTAGCAAAATGTTTTAAAATTAGAAACACAGATTAGCAGCGCTTTCCTTTCCCCCTCCCACCAGGGAGATTCCAAGCACAAGGTCACTTAGCCAGCCAGCCACCTGGTGATAACAAGTAAAACAAAAAGAAAAAGGAGAAAGCTGACTTATCAGGATAGGAGGGAGCAGAAGGCCTTGCACCATGCCAAAAGCCACTTCAAAAAGTCTCTTTGTAGATTGCACCTTTTAAAAAACTAACCCTGCAAAGAAATTTTTCACTTCTCTCTCTACCTTGTTGTTTTGGGGTAATGTAGAGGAAGTTCCTGGCCAGCCAGAAATTGCCTGTACTTGCTTGGACTTGCAATAAAAGAGTTAATCTTGCATTTTGCAGTAGGGTCCACTCTTCTTTTTGGTGGTCTTCCTCTGGAGGAGGGGCTTGCCTGCTTTTGGCACAACATTTGGTGCCTTGGTCAGAAACCCCCCCCCAGGGACTCCACCAGGACATAAGCCTGGAGGTTCAGCTCATTAACATCTGCTGGTAAGAGAGCACTCTTTGTCTCCTGTCTCTTTGTCTCTGTCATTTTGTCTTGTCTGTCTGACTGTGATTGTTTTAGTTTTGTACCTGGTGACCGTTTCGGGATTTTGGTATTGACAGGCGTTCTCTGAAGTGGATGCACTTGTACAGAGACCCTGGAAAAGCACGGGACTCCTCGTCTTCCATTTCTAGACAGGTATGGGAATTCTCCAACTCCTGGGTCATTTCCAGACAGGGGTCAGGTCGTTTCCAGACAGGGATGGGAATTGTCTTACGCCTGGGTCTTTTCCAGACAGGGGCCTTTCTGGCTCCGGGTAATTTTCAGACAGGGCGTTCTGCTCCCAGGTTAGTATACGTGGGCCATCTGGTCCTGGGTCATCTGCAGCCACCTCAGAGGCAGCTTTGGTTTCAGGCACCAAGAAACGATCAAGAGGAGCTGCTCCTGGACATTCAGCAGTCTGTTAGGACTATATTTGGATACATCTATCCACACAGGGAAGAGGAGGAAATGTCACCTAGTACTCCATCCCGGGAATGGGAACGTGTTGAAATTTGTTTGTGTCTTGTTGTGTTAATTGTTGGTTTATTTTTTATCTTTCTTAGCTTTTTTCTTAAATTCTCCTCTTCAGAAATGGGGAATGCCCATTTGACACCTTTAAGCTGAACTCTTACACTTTGGAAAGATATACAGGACACCGCCAACAATCACAATGCAACTGTTAAAAAAAATGAGTCACTGTTTATACAGATGAATGGCCCACGTTTAATATCAGATGGCCAGCCAGTGGGACCTTCCATGCAGCAACCATCCACCAAGTGGAGGAGATAGTTCTCCGCCCCCATAATGGTTATCCTGACCAAGCCCCTTATATTGTCACCTGGCGAGGGTTAATAGATAAAATAGGAGGCCCCCTCCCTTGAATTGTACCGTTCTTAGTTCCACAGCAGACCCAAGTCTTGGCTGCTAAGACTAGGGCTCCTTCAGCAGGCACAAAGGAGAACAGAACAAAGCCAGTCACTGTATTCCAAGGAGAGACAGAGGAGACAGAGATTTTCCCACCACCTTATTTTCCTTCAGCTGAGCATTCCACAGCACTTTGTAGAGGAGGTGTGAACCCCCCAGAAATCAGGAGCGGAAGGAGAAGGGCCACCAGCATTATCTACCTGTAGCAGGAGGGCAGGTACCCCACACCCAGATTCCATGGTGGCCCTTCCCCTCAGACCTGCTCGCCCTCCTGACGATTCAGGGAACCAACCCTTCCATTATTGACCTTTTGCTACCGGTGACTTATATAATTGTAGGGCTCAGAATGCACCATTCTCCAAGGACCCACAGGACTTGATTAACCTGTTGGAAACTGCTCTTTTTACCCATGCCCCTACGTGGGACAATTGCCACCAGCTGTTGGGAGTTCTCTTCACGATTGAGGAAAGAAACAGGATACTAGAGAACACCAGGAAGCTGGTCCTAGGACCTACCAGTGCCCCCCTAATGGACCCTGTGCTAGCCATGACGGCTTTTCCAGCAACTCGCCCTTACTGTGATTTCAACATGGCAGAAGGTAGGGAGAGTCTCCATATGTACCGCTAGGCTCTATTGGGGGTTTAAAAGCAGCGGTACGCAAGCCCACTAATATGAAAAAAAATTATGATGAAAAGCAGGAAAAGAATGAGAGCCCGGCTGCATACCTGGAGAGGTTGATGGAGGCCTTTAAACAATACTCCCCCTTCAACCCAGAGTCCGAGGAATTGCAGCCAGCCGTTGTCTTAGCCTATGTCAATCAAGCAGCACCAGATATTAAGAAAAAATTACAGTCATTAAAAAGACTAGGGAAAAAAAGCATAAGAGATTTAGTAACAGTGGCAGAAAAGATTTACAATAAGAGATAGAGGATAAAAAAGAAAAAAAAAAACGTCAAAAAAGGGAAAAAAAGAGACAAAAGGCAAACGAGGACCCTAACCAAGATATTGGATAGACAAGTTCAGATGGAAAAAGTTTTCCTTGGTGCTGAAGCAGGAGAACAGGGAAAAGGCCAACAATTGGAGCCTAAAGTAGGAAAGAATCAATGCAGGTACTACAAGGAAGAAGGACATTGGGCCAAAGACTGCCCCCAAATAAGAAACAAGTGAAAAGCATCCACAGGATCAGGAAGGAAGCCAACCCCCATCGTTGCTGCCTTGAAAGAAGACAGTGACTAGGGGAGATGGGGCTCGGCTCCCCTCCCCAAGCCTAGGGTAACCCTAAGAGTGGAGGGGAAACCTATCCAATTCATGGTGGATACAGGGTCAGAAAGTTCAGTACTGTTGACACCTGAGGGCTCCCTATCTAGAAGACAGACTTCAGTGCAATGTGCGACGGGCACCAACCCCATAAATGGACTACTCGAAAAACAGTGGACTTGGGAGTGGGACAGGTAACCCACTCATTCTTAGTCATTCCTGAGTGTCCATACCCATTGCTGGGGTGTGACTTGCTCACCAAAATGAGCGCGCAGATCCATTTTGCTGCTGCAGGTGTACACATCAAGCACCCAGATGGAGAGGCCATTGGAGAGTTCTTAACAATGCCTTTGGAGGAGGAGTACCGTCTCCACAAACAAATATCCACCCCCAACCCAGATATGGATACCTGGCTCCGAGAATTTCCAACAGTCTGGGTAGAGATGGGGGAATGGGGTTGGCCAAACACCGGCCTCCAATATATGAAAAATTAAAGGCTAATGCAGGTCCTGTAAAAGTTCGCCAGTACCCCATGACTCTGGAAGCCAGGAGGGGAATTACTCCCCATATAAGACAGCTTCTACGAGATGGGATCTTGCGGCCCGTTCAGTCTGCATGGAACATCCCTCTCCTGCCAGTTAAGAAACCACATACCAATGATTATCAACCCGTTCAGGACCTCAGAGAAGTCAACAAAAGGGTAATAGATATCCACCCCACTGTACCCAACCCGTATACTTTGCTGAGTATGCTCCTACCAGATAAGGAATGGTACACAGTACTTGACTTAAAAGATGCTTTCTTTAGTCTCCCACTTGCCCCGAGCAGCCAGAGGTATTTAGCCTTTGAATGGAACGATCCAGACATTGAGGTAAGTGGACAGTTGACCTGGACAAGACTGCCACAAGGATTCAAGAACTCTCCTACCATATTTGATGAAGCTCTCCATGAGGATTTGAGTGAGTACCAATCTTGACATCCTCATGTTTACCTTTTACAATATGTAGATGACATATTAATAGCCATCAGGTCAGCAGAAGAATTTCTTAACGGAACCAGAGATCTTCTGACAGTTCTGGAAACAATAGGTCATCGGGTTTCAGCAAAGAAGGCCCAGATCTGCAGGAGGAAGGTAACTTACCTTGGGTATATACTAAAAAAAGGTAAGAGATGACTGTCTAAAGCCAAAAAAGAGACTGTGTTAAAAATACCTGTGCCTAAGACAGTGAGACAAGTCAGAGAGTTCCTAGACTCTGCAGGATTTTGCAGACTTTGGATTCTAGGGTACACTGAAATTGCCTGCCCTCTCTATGAGGCCACAAAGAAAAAAAATTTAACTTGAAATTCAGAGAGACAGATAGCTTTTGATACCATCAAGCAGAGGCTGTTGGAGGCCCCTGCCCTGGGTCTCCCTAATATCAATAAACCCTTCCTCTTTTATTTGGATGAAAACAAAGGAATAGCAAAGGGAGTATTGACTCAGAACATCGGAGCGTGGAAAAGGCTGGTTGCCTACTTCTGTAAGAAACTGAACACTGTGGCCTCTGGATGGCCTCCATGCTTACGCATCATTGCGGCTGTGGCACTATTAGTTAAAGATGCTGATAAGCTGACTTTGGGACAAAATCTTGAGGTATGTACCCCACATGCTTTGGAATCTATCTTAAAGCAACCTCCTGACAGGTGGCTAAGCAATGCCAGAGTGACTCATTAGCACCCCATCACAATAACCTTTCAAACACCAACTACACTGAACCCAGCTACTATGCTGCCTGACCCTGACCTAGAGGCTCCCCTCCATGACTGTGCTGAAATTCTAGCTCAGGCATATTGCATTCGATCTGACCTCAGTGATACACCACTGATAGATGCAGAAGAAACTTGGTTCACGGATGGGAGCAGTTTCATGCGAGATGGACACAGGTATACAGGGGCTGCAGTGACAACAGCCCACGCAGTAGTCTGGGCAGAGACTCTGCCCACTGGTACCTAAGCCCAGACAACTGAACTGATAGCATTAACAAGGGCCTTACAGATAGGAAAAGACAAAAAAATCAACGTTTATACGGATAGCAGATATGCATTTGCCACCTTGTACATCCATGGAGCAATTTACAAGAAAAGGGGGCTGCTCACTGCAGAGGGAAAGACTATCAAAAACAAACAAGAAATATTAAAATTGTTAAGAGCGCTCTGGCTTCCAAAGAAGCTAGCAGTAATGCATTGTCCCGTACACCAAAAGAGAACAGATGTTATCTCTAGGGGAAACAATCTAGCAGACCAAAAAGCAAGAGAGGCAGCTTTGGCCACAACTACAGTGACTCTACCCATACTAACTGATCCAGGTCCCCGTAGCTTGCCTCGCCAGCCGAACTATAACTCATACAAAGAGACCCGGGCTGCCCAAATAGAGGGAGTCTATAAAAAAGATGGATGATGGAGACTTCCAACAGGAAAGGTGCTCCTTCCAAGACTATTAGGGAAGCACCTACTCCAAAGAATTCACCGAACCACCCACCTGGGAATCCGGAAGCTTAGAGAATTAATCTCTGGATCTCCACTAAAGATTCGACAAGCAAACCGTCTTACTGATAAGACTGTAAATGACTACAAAGCATGCAAGTTAGTAAACTCCTATAAAACACAAGGAATAAGAGGTGTACAAATGAGAGGAACTCACCAAGGTATGTACTGAAAGTGGAATTTACAGAAGTCAAGCCAGGTAAATATGGATATAAATATTTGTTGGTCTTTATGAAAGACCCCCAGAGGGTGTCTTTAACACTTGGAGACCCTCGCCCAAGAACCAAGTCCGAGCCACTGGATGCAAGAGCAAGAGGCAATTTTTATTGTTCACACAGGGCCTGTGGGTGCTGCAGTCACATGGAGGATTGAGCACCCCGGGCTGGGTTTTGGGGCAGATTATATGGGGTTGGGGTAGGCAGAAGCAGGCGTACAGAAGCAGATGCATAGTTACAGGGGTCTCATTGGTCAATTTTAATGAGGCTATGAGGTCATGCCTGAGACTGGGTGTTTTCTCTCCACTGGGTGCCTGGCAGCTTGGGGACTTTCCGTTCCTCCCCCTTAATCTTTCTCATGTGGGTGACATAACTCCTGGTGTCTAACCGCAGGCATCCTGTTTATACAGACTTGACAATATCATCTGTGACCTTATTATGAGCCCCAAGACATTATTATGAGCCCCTAGTTCTTGGTTCAAGCCTTGCTTATAAAATGGCATTACAGCAGCTAAACCAGGCGGGGGTCTTTCATTTATAGACACCTTTTTAGGATGGACTGAAGCTTATCCTACCAAACACGAGACTTCCTATGTAGTGGCTGAGAAACTACATGAAGAGATCCTTCCCAGGTTTGACTTTCCACACATGATAGGGTCAGACAATGGCCCTGCCTTTGTCTCTCAGGTTAGCCAGGGAATAGCCACTGCACTGGGGGCTGAATGGAAATTACATTGGACTTACTGCCCTCAGAGTTCAGGACACGTTGAGAAAATAAATCGGACCCTAAAAGAGACCCTTACAAAATTATCTTTGGAGACTGGCGAAGATTGAGTGACTCTCCTTCCCTATGCCCTGTTCAGGGTGAGGAACTCCCCATACCAAATGGGACTAACTCCCTTTGAGATAATATATGGTCTACCCCCACTCCTCATGCCTAGCTTACAGGACGAGTTGGTTCCACCTCCAGAAGAATTGGACCTTTTAGGGAGCCTGAGGACATTATCCCAAATGCAGGCAGATATCTGGCCTCAGTTGAGGGCCTTATATTCATCCCACTCTCTTCCCGAGCCCCACAGTTTTCAGTCACGGTGGAAAGGGTCCTACGTTGTCATCCTGACCACCCTGACTGCTCTCAAGGTGGACGGCATCTCCACCTGGATTCACCACTCCCACACCAGATCTGTGCCATCTGCAGCAGAGAATCCTCTGGACGGGACATGGGAGATCTCCAAACACCCCACCAATCCCCTGAAGCTAAAACTGCAACGGAAACCTGAAGATGAAGTTCCCCCTTCTGACATGGTACCTGCCCAGGAAATACTGAAAACCCCCATGCACCTTGGTACTTGACCTGGACCCTGACTAACCTTGAGACTGGGCAAGCCTTAAGGCTGGCCACTGAAGTTCATTCCCTAGATACATGGTACCCTCAGCTAACTTTTGACCTATGTGCATTAGCAAAGGGCTCTTGGGAGAACACTGAATGAACTCTCCGGGACTCTTATCCTGCATGTCGACATTCGGACTGGTATATTTGTCTGGGTGGGTAAGCGACCTCACCAATGTGGGGGGCCTGAAGTATTTTATTGTGCTGCCTGGGGACGTGAAATCAGTGCCTCCCAATGGGGGACTAGCAAAATAGACTTAGTCTCTTTCACTCTTACCACACCAGAAGAGTTTAAAATCACAATTACCTTTACTGAGGAGGGGAAAAAAGCTAACTGGTTAACAGGCAAGACTTGGGGGTTATGATTATATGTTCCAGGAGGGGAAGACATAGGGATCCTGTTTTCCCTGTGAGTTGTTACAACACCTCCCATGACCATAGCATTAGGCCCCAATAAGGTAATTAACCCTAGCTCAGATAAGAAGATGACTCCCCCTCCTCCCAAGCTAACCACTAGCAAAACCACCCTGGTAATTACTTTTAGCACCTCTGTTTTACCAGCACAAAAGACACCCTGGGATGCTGGCCCTACACCTAGTAGATCTTCTGAACTTACAAACCCCCTGTTTACAGTCTTACAACAGTCATTCTTACTTCTAAATAGTTCCAAGCCAGAACTAACTGCCTCCTGCCGGCATTGCTACAGTGCAAAAATGCCCTGTTATGAAGAAATAGCTGTGGTGGCCCTAACCAACTATTCTAATTGGCAGAAACAAAAGGGAGTCTCAGGTTCTTGCCGATGGCAGTCAAATACCTCCTTGACCCTTGAACAAGTCTCAGGCCAGGGACTATGTATAGGGACAGTGCCTGATCACTCTTTACCCCTATGCAATCACACTATGCCACTCACAAACCAATCAGGATATTTAGTCCCAGCAAATGATACCTGGTGGGCATGTTCCTCTGGCCTAACACCCTGTGCCCATGTGACTGTGCTGACTCAGATCAAGGGAGTTTGTGTCCTTGTATGTTTGGTTCCCAGGATAACCTACCATGCTGCTGAAAATTTGTTAAGCCTTAATAAAGCTACCCAATATGCTCTTAGACAAAAGGGAGAGCAGGTCACAGCCTTCCCATCCTGACAGGGACTAGCTTAGCAGGATTGGGAATGGGAGTGGCCTCCTTAGTCACCCAACAGCATTATTATGCAGATCTCTGCAAATCTATAGATGAGGATATTCAGAGAATAAAAACCTCCATCTCCCACCTGCAAGAGTCTCTGTCTTCACTAGCAGAGGTGGTACTACAAAGCAGAAGGGGCCTAGATTTACTATTCCTAAAAGAAAAAGGGCTATGTGCAGCTTTAGGAGAAGAATGCTGCTTCTATACAGGCCACTCAGGAATCGTAAAAGATCCCATGTCAAAAGTCCATAAAGTCTCAGCAAAAAGAAAATGGGAACATAAAGCCAACCAAAGTTGGTTTGAGACCTGGTATTCCAGATCCTCTTGGTTCACCCACCACCCTCATCTCATCCTTGGTAGGACCCCTGCTACTCTTCCTCCTGATACTCACTTTTGGGCCCTATATTATTAATAAAGTACTCAAATATGTAAAACAAAGGTTGAAAACTATACAACTTATGGTACAACAAGTGTATACTCCACTCAGGCCTTATAGAACTGGGATATATGATGACATCGATAGGGCTGATGAAGAACTATAGGCACAGGATTGTGCCCCCTTAGGACCAAAGAGGAGAGGGAAATGAGAGACCCTCACCCCTTATTTTTAAAGGGACAAGAATTTCCTAGCAAAATGTTTTAAAATTAGAAACACAGATTAGCAGCGCTTTCCTTTCCCCCTCCCACCAGGGAGATTCCAAGCACAAGGTCACTTAGCCAGCCAGCCACCTGGTGATAACAAGTAAAACAAAAAGAAAAAGGAGAAAACTGACTTATCAGGATAGGAGGGAGCAGAAGGCCTTGCACCATGCCAAAAGCCACTTCAAAAAGCCTCTTTGTAGATTGTACCTTTTAAAAAACTAAACCTGCAAAGAAATTTTTCACTTCTCTCTCTACCTTGTTGTTTCGGGATAATGTAAAGGAAGTTCCTGGCCAGCCAGAAATTGCCTGTACTTGCTTGTACTTGCAATAAAAGAGAGTTAACTTTACATTTTACAATCCAGTCCACTCTACTTTCTGGTGGTCTCTCTCTGGGGGAGGGACATGTGTGCTCTGAGCACAACACTCCCTGCTCCCTCCAGATCTATGAAGGTGAGCATCCAAACAGACTAGGCTCCTACAAGGCCAGTCCATGCAGTATAATCAAAACTCAGTGCCATTGTCCTTGGCTTCTCAGTCAGTCCTCATTGTCAGTCACATTCACAGAGTCCAGTTTGATCACATACTCCATCAGTCCCAGTCCAGCTGGCCTTGGTGAGCTCTCATTAGATCAGTCCCATTGTCTCAGTGGGTAGACGCACCCCTCGTGGTCCTGACTTCCTTGCTTATGGTTTGCCTCCTTCTGCTCCTCATTTGGACCTTGGGAGCTAAGTCCAGTGCTCCAATGTGGGTCTCTATCTTTATCTCCATCCATCGCCAGAGGAAGGTTCTATGGTGATATGCAAGATACTGATCAGTGTGGCTAGGGGACAAGGCCAGTTCAGGCACCCTCTCCTCTGCTGCCCAAGGAACAATCTGGGGACCTCTCCTTGAACCTGGGAACCCCTCTAGAGTCAAGTCTCTTGTAAACCCTAAAATGGCTCCCTTAATTAAGATATTTACTTCCCTGCTCCCATATCCACCCTTCCTCCATCCCACCCATCCCATTCTCACAAGCTCTACCGAATCTTCCTCTTCTCCCTTCTCTCTACCCATCTCCCCTTACATCCACCCCCCACCCCCATGCACCTAACTTTTACTGGAAATCTTGTCTACTTCCTATATTGAGGATGATAACTATATGATTTTCTTTGGTTTCACCTTCTTATTTAACTTCTCTAAAATCTCAAATTATAGGCTCAATGTCCTTTGTTTATGGCTAGAATCTGCTTATGAATGAGTACATACCATATTCCTCTTTTTGGGTCTGGGTTATCTCACTCAGTAAAGTGTTTTCTATTTTCATCCATTTGAATTGCAAAATTCAAGATGTCATTGTTTTTTACAGCTGAGTAGAACTATAATGTGTATATTGCCACACCTTCTTTAACCATTCTTCTATTGAGGGACACCTAGTTTGTTTCCTGGTTCTGGCTATGACAAATAGTGTTGCTATGAACATAGTTGAACAGATGCTTTTGTAGTATGGTTGGGCATCTCTTGGGTATATTCCAAAGAGTGGAATTGCTGGGTCCTGAGGTAGGATGACTCCCAGTTTCCTGAGAAACCACCACACTGATTTCCAAAGTGATTGCACAAGTTTGCATTTCCACCAACAATGGATGAGTGTTTCCCTTTCTTCACAACCTCTCCAGCATAGGCTATCATTGGTGTTTTTGAGTTTAGCTATTCTGACAGGTGTAAGATGGTATCTCAAAGTTGTTTTGATTTGCATTTTCCTGTTTGCTAAGGAGGTTGAGCGTGACCTTAAAGTGTCTTTTGGCCATTTGAACTTCTGTTGAGAATTCTCTGTTCAGTTCAGTACCCCATTTTCTAATTGGGTTAATTAGAATTTTAATGTCTAGTTTCTTGAGTTCTTTATATATTATGGAGATCAGACCTTTGTCTGATGCGGGGTTGGTGAAGATTTCTTCTCCCATTCAGTAGGTTGCCTTTTTGTCTTGATGAGAGTGTCCTTTGCATTACAGAAGCTTCTCACTCAGAACCAAAAAGAGGAATATGAACCTTCGTCTGGCGACGGATGGAGATAGAGACAGAGACCCACATTGGAGCACTGGACTGAGCTCCCAAGGTCCAAATGAGGAGCAGAAGAGGGAAAACATGAGCAAGGAATTCAGGACTGGGAAAGGTTTGTCCACCCACTGAGACAATGGGACTGATCTAATGAGAGCTCACCAAGGCCAGCTGGACTGGGACTGATGGAGCATGTGATCAAACTGGACTCTCTGAATGTTGCTGATAATGAGGACAGACTGAGAAGCCAAGAATGATGCCCTGGGTTTTGATTCTGCTGCATGTACTGCCTTGTGGGAGCCTAGTCTGTTTGGATGCTCACCTTTCTAGACCTGGAGGGAGCAGGGAGGACCTTGGACTTCCCACGGGGCAAGGAATCCTGACTGTTCTTAGGACTGTAGAGAGAGGCAGAGAGGGAGTGGGGGGAGTGGGAAGGTATTGGGAGAAGGGGAGGAGGTGGAAATTTTTAATAAATAAATAAAAAAAATGATAAAAGAAGAAGAGTGGGCAGAAGTAATGTAAAAGCTAGAGGAAGAAGAGGGGTTCTGTGAAAACTACATTCTGTAGCATTCTCTGGTCTCTAAGGGCTAGGGCTACTCATCAGAGACAGATTTTCTAGCTTGACTCCAGCCTTTCCTCCCCTGTTTTGGATCAGGAGTGCAGTGTTCTTTGTGCAGCATCCTCCACAGCTGTATGTTCATAATTGCAAAGACCATGTTAAATACAGCAGGTGTGCAAAAACACGTGATTGGGGAAGGGCTTCCTTTGACAGTAAGAAGATAATCAGCAGGTGTGTGGGAAGAGGGTGAGAGGGGATAGTGGGTGTTAGTTATGATCATTTGCAGTGTATTTATGTATAAAAGAAAAAATCAATAAATGAAAAAAGAAGTTGAATGCATACATATGAAGTTTTTGTTTCAGTAATATAAAGCACATGTCTTAGAAAAAGAATGTATTAATCTTATGAAGAAAATAATTTGCAGATAATTCATGTTCTTCTTTGAGTTTGATTCAAAAACAATTATTTATTCTCTATTATCCCTTAAAGACGTCACTATTTTAACAGCAGCAACAACAATAATAAGAACAGGCATTTTCGTTGTTTAAT